AAAAAAGATAGAATATGGAGGATGTGTGTGGATAGTAGGGCAATAAACAAAATTACCATTAAATATCGATTTCCAATTCCTAGACTGGATGGCATGCTTGATATGCTGAGTGATGCCTTTTGGTCTTTCAAATACTCCGAGTACTTTTATAAGAACTATGAATCATATTTTGACACCTCTCATTGGAAAGTTTGTTATTTTAAAGAGATTGTTCGTCTTCACGATATCCCTCGAACTTTTACTTCTGATCGTGACACTAGGTTTTTAAGTCATTTTTTGAGAACTCTATGGGCAAAACTTGGAACTACCCTTCAATTTAGCAGTGCCTATCATCCTCAAACCGATGGGCAGACTGAGATAGTAAATCGAAGTTTGGGAAATTTATTAAGATGCCTTGCTGGAGAAAAACCATCTCAATGGGATTTAGTGTTGCCTCAAGCTGAGTTTGCATACAATAATTCTGTTAATCGTTCTACTGACAAAACTCCATTTGAAATTATTTATGGGCAACCTATTCCTCATATTCTGGATAGAAATTCTTTATCACTTCCTAAAAAAACTAATGCTGAGGCTTTTGAAACATTTGACCATATAAAAACTATCCAACTACAGGTTTTTGAAAAACTTAAGAAGGTTACTGCTAAGTATAAGTCTGCTGCTGATAAACATCGAAAAGAAGTAAATTTCAATGAATGTGACTTAGTGATAGTTTACTTTTGTCGCCAAAGATTTCTTGTTGGCACTTTTAAAAAGTTAAGTAGAAAGAAATTTAGCCCTTTTCGTGTGATTAAAAAATTAGGTGTTAATGTCTATCTGCTAGATTTACCAAATACTGCTAGATTTACCCAATTTCTGTACTTTTTATTTTATCTGAACAATAGTATATTTTGTTTTCTATTTTATTTTCTTTCTTTTTTAGCTATCCAATGATGGGAAAGCATCCAATGATCATGGTAGATTGTGCATAAGACTTGGTAGACCTTTGGTTTGCTGGCTCGATTGGTCCTTGGCTACTAATGGTTCACGGGTTGGCTGTTTTGATGATGGTTCACGGGTTGGCTGTTTTGGAAGCATATGGCATTGAGCTCATTCTCATAAGTTGTTGAGCTAAAGTTTAGTAGCTCATTAATATCCAAAAAGGTACCTCATTAAGAAGAATTACTTTTGGAGTGGCCTTGTCCCTTCCCCTTCCCCTTTCTTCTTGTCTCTTGGGAAACCATGGCTTGTATTTATTGGGGGCTCAATTCTATGCTTTAAATTCATAATGAGGTTGCTGATTTTTGTGCTTTACCTCTTGGGAGTCCGGCCAACCTCTGTTTTTCCGTGCTTGGATGTTTTCCCGAGACTGTGTTGCTTTGAATTATGGCGGGCTGCTTGCTTTCCGAGATTTTGGCTCCTTGGTTCCGTGAATTACCTTTGATTCCCGTAACTATTCCTTCAGGATTTATGCTGGGCTGTTTTCCGAAGTGGCATTTGGAAATCTATGAAAAAATGAAGCTTGGGATGTTGTGAACATTAACTAAGGTGGCTTTTGGCATTCCTCTACTTTGCCTATAAATAAGAGATGATGTTGTAAAGGAAGGCAGTTGATATTTGTAAGCATATTTGCTATTAACCTGCAGGTTTATTCGGAAATCCTGCGGGCTCTTTCCACCCTTCTTTTCTCATCCCCTCCAGAAATCATGCGGGCTCTTTCCACCCTTTCTTCTCGGGCTTCTAACCTCTTCGTCTCTCCGCAAGTGCCACTCCATCTGTATCCTTCTTCTCAACAGTGAAGCAACTTTAGGGTGTCGTGTCTTGGTTGATTTGGAAGCATTTGGACAGTCTTGCAGTGGTGGACCATCGGTTTGCTAGTCTTATGCACTTCTTTATTTAATCTACTATTCGATGCATGTGAGGAACCTACTCGTTCCTACTCTGACGGTTGTCTGAGGATAGCGTCTTTTTTTTATTTCTTTAAAATCTCCTAGTATTTCTTGTTGTGTTTGTCCAGTTTTAGTTGTCTGCTTTTATTTTAATAAAGTTTGTTTTAAGTTCTATCCATTGCGTCTGCTTCTTCTTGTGTGTCTACATCACCTGTTCTAGCTTTCCTCCTCTTTTGTTGTCCTCGGGCACCTGCATCACTCACATCAATGTTGTATTCTTCTTTTTTTTTTTTAACTTTAAATTCCCCTTATGAAGATCTAAGTGTCTCAACTCAATTTTTTTAATCTTTGTTCAACAGATGCTATGCTTGACTACTTATTTAGTTTAAGTTGTAAATCTTACAGTCTTACTACATTTGGTTAAATTTGCAGAATAGATGACAGCTTGACTATTTATTTAGTTTACAGGTTTACGTTTTATTTTTACCCTTTTTGAATGGGTATTTTTCATTTCGTTATCTTTGCTGAGCAAATGCTATCCTTTACTATTTATTTAGTTTCTTCATGCTTAGCTACATCTAATTTGGTTCACCCTTGACATGGCAAATCAGATATGGTCATCAAATCCTATATAGGTGGCTGGACCCTTGGCATAGTTAATAGCTGATCAATCTTGATGTTTTGCTGATTTATTGATCCAACAATTTCAGTTGTTGTATTGTTACCTTTGCTGAACAAATGTTACGTTTGATGCTTCATCTTAAGAGTGTGGCCAAATCCTAAATATTTAAGACCATCTCTTTCATTGAGTGTAGAAGACTTTAAGAGCAGTTTTTGCAAATGTATCAGCCTCCAAATTTGTTCTTCCATCTAAGTAAATATTTGATAGAAATACATTTCTCATGATTTCTTTTTTCTAGTCGAATTTTCCCAAAGGCAAGTTCATATAATATTTGTAGAATTTTGAAATTTTATGGTTGACTTCATATTATTCTTTTTGCAGTAGCAGGAAGTTTCTGTTATCATCTAGAATTGAGCATGATTACCAGATTAAGTAATCCATCATTCTCTTTCTTCCATTCAGTGCTTGCAGTATTGTTTAGTATCTGAATTTCTGTTAGCATCTTGAACGTAGTATCTCAAAATCAGCTTATGGTTCCCTAGCATCTGATTTCCCAAATGCAGTAATGATTTGCATCTTTTATGCATTCTTTCTTTCCTATTTCTAATGTATGCGCATAAGTGACTGTAATTCACAGTTTTATAAAATGTATTATGTGCATCATCTAATGAGTAATATACAACTTCCATTGATCACTTTAATTGACCATTTGATATTATGAATTATGTATCAATGATTCAATATCTTAATTTTGGGTTATTTCAATTTTTAGTCAACTCAAAAAGATTTAGTTCAAGTGAAGTGTATTAAGGATGAAGATCAAAAAGTACTTTTCTAGAAGATGATATTCAACAAAGGCGAATGAGGTATTTTGCTAAACTTTTTAATGAAAAATGTGAAAATATGATTGACTTTAGTGACTTTATCACCCTAAATGAAAATAAAGATTTTTGTTTTTATCGGCCTATAAGTAAAACAGAAGTTAGAGAGGCTTTAAAGAAAATGAAGTGTGGAAAAGCTATTGGACCTGATGATATTCCAATAGAGATGTGGAAATGCTTAGGAGATGAAAGAATTTCTTAGCTTACTAAACTTTTTAATATTATTTTGAAGACTAAAAAGATGTCAGATCAGTGGAGAATGAGTGTGTTAATTCATATTTTTAAGAATAAAGGTGATGCACAACAGTGTGCGAATTATAGAGGAATTAAGTTAATGTGTCATACTTTAAATGCTTTAGCCATGGATGTTCTCACTAGACATTTGCAAGAGGATGTACCTTGGTGTATGCTTTTTGTTGATGATATTCTTCTTGTTGATAAGACTAGAGAGGGAGTTGAAGGTAAACTTGAATTATGGAGGTGAACTTTAGAGTCTAAAGGTTTTCGCTTGAGTAGATCTAAAACTGAATATATGGAGTGTAATTTGGGCGATCAAGTCATTAGACCTAGTGAGGGGTTTGTGACTTTGGGCGATCAAGTCATTATTCGTTAATAAGTATCTTGGATCTATTGTTCAGAGTGATGGGGATATTATCAGCAAAATTCAAGTTGGATGGTTGAAGTGGAGGAATGCATCAGGCTTATTGTGCGATAGAAAAATACCCCTCAAACTTAAGGGAAAATTCTATAAGATGGTAGTGAGACATGCAATACTTTATGGTGCCGAATGTTGGCCATTAAAAGAGAAGCATAATACTAAGTGTTGCAGAGAAGAGGATGCTTAGGTGGATGAGTGGCTTGACCCTTAGAGATAGGATATGAAATGAGCATATACGTGAAAAGGTTGTAGTAGCTCCAGTGGAAGATAAGATTAGAGAGGGTTGCCTTAGATGGTTTGGTCACATTAAACAGAGGCCTTCCGATAACCCGGTTAGGAAAGTTGAGGTATTAAATTTTACTTATGTTAAGAAAGGTAGATGTAGACCTAAAAAGACTTGGTTAGAAAATATTAGATATGATCTTTCTTTATTAGAGTTAAATGAGAATTTGACTTTTAACCGGACACAATGGCGAAAAAGGATTCATGTAGCCAACCCCACGTAGTGGGACAAAGGCTTGATGTTGTTGTTGTTGTCGTCAAAAAGATTTCAAGGCAGCTCAAAATTGATAAATTAAGTTAACAGTCAGGTTCAAGCTAATTTGAAATCAATAAATATTTTAGTTGAGTTGACTAGATTTAAGTTATAATGTTCGAGCCAAGCACCTGAAATTGATTTTGAGTTTGCGTTGAGCCTGACTTGATCGAACTCAAAATATACCACCCCAGGCCAACAAAATGCAAACCAACAGAAAGTCGTTAAAATCATTCATACAGGAGATCCAAAAATTATAGCAATAAAATGCGCTAATGAAAATAATTTATTGCGATTTTTACAGGTTGTACACTAAGCAAAAGAAAAGGAAGTTTTGTGGCTGAAAATAGGCGCAAAGAAACAAGTCAACATAAATCATCTGGAAAAAATGTGTGCTGCTACGGCTAAGAGTTACCTAGTAATACTTGCAGATGCATACCTGTTTAACTTCAGCTAACCATGCTGTAAACTCCGGTCGTTTGTTCCTACAAAACGATAAGAAAATCTTAACACAGTGACATCAGCAGATTGAGCAGAAAAAAAACCACTTATCACTCTCCATGTCCAACAAAGCCCACAATATAATAGTTGTCTATATCCATATTTGCAATCCTTATGACACTTTGTCAAAAGAAATCTCTGTTTCCAAAAGCAATATGAAGCTCAAAGGTTTAGCGTCAGATCAATATCAGTAACCTAAAAAACCTCTTTATTAATCGATATGAACTTAACCGGAACCCACAATAAACAGGGGCAGAAGATGACCCTGAACTACGGAAACCAACTTTGCAATTTTTTATCAATTCAGAAAAAAACCTTCTATAGGATAACTAAGCGTATTCAGGAAGCGTTCAAGAGTGATTTTACAAAGGTAACAATTAGGCAACAGCTAGGGTGATCTACATTTGCAGTTCAAGTTCAAAGCAGTGCCGGAAACTTGCAAGAGTGGCCGACGGAAAAAAAAAAACGTTACCACATGTCGGTTTCTTTGATGACGCCATACTTCCCCCATGAGTTCGTGACGGCCCCTTTTGTACCCCTATCCTTTTCTTTTTTCTTCTTTTCTTTCTTTCTCTCCTTCCTCTTCCTCCTCTCCTCTTTCTCCTTCTCCTTCCTCCTCCGCCTCTCCTTCTCCTTCCTCCTCCGCCTCTCCTTCTCTTGCTCCCTCTCCTTCCTTTTCCTCTCCTTCCGCTTCCTTCGCCTCAACAACTCCTCGTTCCCGGACTCCGAGCCTGCATCGGACTCAGAATCCCCCTTCGAGTCCGAGTCTGTTTCAGAATACGTATCGGAATAGGAGCTTTCATCCTCAGATTCACTGTATGTATCCTTCCTACGAGATCCTCTGCTCCTCCTCACCTTGCTTTTCCTCTTCTTTCCTCGAGCTTTCTCACTGTCGGAATCGCCGGAACTATCGCCGGTACTTCCCTCTCTCCTCCTCTTCGCCTTCTGACGGCGCTCTCTTCTCGTCAGCTCCTTTCCACGCTCTTCCTCGTCCGCTCTCACTCGTTCTTCTTCTCGAACAGATCCGTTTCGATCCTCGGCCATTTCGCCGCAGAGCTCACGAAAGAAGCCGGTGAGCTCTCTCCCCCGCTACCTCCACAAATGAACCGAGAGTTTGACAAATCTATTGGTACCAGAGCTTTGTCGTTTAATTAACAATTAAATAAAGCTAAATATTTTTTAATATTTGATGATTAAGTAATAAAACTATATAATTATTTATTTGATTAATTTATGTTTACGAAATATGATTTCAAGCTCAGGAATAAGCTCAATATAAAGCTTATATGAAGCTTATTTAGAAGCTTAATTCTTATTGGATATACATAGCTCTTGAGCAAGCTTGTTAAGAAACTCAACCAATATTTGATAGGGAGCTCGATTCGTCCGTTATTAATGGGTCCTCAAAAATCACCTTGATAAGTCACAAATTTGAAAGCATGGTTGAACTAAAAACTTTCAAAATTAAATTCAAGGCCATCCATAATCTAATTCCAGCAAAATTAAATTTGAATTAAAAGGTTTTGACAAGACGAACTTAACAACACCAAAAATGATTCAATCTGAGCTTGAATGAGCCCTAATCAAGGGCCAAAAATGTATTTGAAAGTTTTAAATATTATATAGGTGGGTGGGGAGTTGGACCTTGGCTATAGAAGGAAGAGAGCTTGGTGGCTTGATGAATCATAGCTTCACTCAAGCCCCACTCCCTGGCAGTCGCTCCACCTGATCATTATCGTCAAAACATTCATCGAACAACCGCTATTGTCAAAGCTCCTCAACCCAACCGTTGTCACAGAATCTCTACCCATCCACTATCGAACTTTCACTAGTAGACAACCGCATAACTTCTAGCCAACCACTATTCTTAGACTATTGTCGCCCACCATCAATGGTCATTTGACCACAGTCACTCGACTACGATCCTTCTAGCCTCCATTATTTGCCGACTATAGTCCTTCCAACCTCATCACCCATCAACTGCAATCCTCGAACCGATGTAACCCAACTATGATCCTTTGACCTCAGTTGCTCGACTATACTTATTATGACCCTCGCCTACTATGATCCTTTCGACATCTTTCACCAATAGGCTATGTTTCTTTTAACATCATCATCAGTCAACTATGGTCCTCAAACCACTGATAAGGAAAAAACTATGAGGCCAAGCATAGTTGAAAAAATTCATTGTATAGTAGGTGATATAATAATATTCCCTTCCTTGTAGGCTAAAGAAGAGAGTATTATTTGAAAATAAATATCTAATATTCCCTAAGGAGGGCTATAGAAATTAAATGTCTATAGATTGATAATTAACTCACAACAATAAGGAAATCAGACATTTGGAACACCATTTCATATTGGATTCATAGAAGAACTATAGTTAGTGGGCAATAGACTATGGTCCTTCTGGCCTCCTCACTTACCGACTATAATCTTTAGACCACCATCGCTCAACTACAATCCTCAGAAGATTAGCGCCCCCGACTATAGTTCATCCTCGGACCACCTTTCACTTGATTACAATCCTCAAACCACTGACGCTCTATTCTAGTCCTCTAGCCATTGTCGCCCATCTGAGTCCTCGACTATCATAGCCTCACTATAACCCTTCTAACCTTTGTTACCCACTGACTAAAGTATTTTGACCTCATTTTCCTGACTACAATCCTCCAGAATTTCAACACTAGTGAACAAATATCCTTCTAACATTTATTGAGCAACCCGACTATGATCCTTCTAGCTTCTATTGACAACTGACTGGCAGAGCTTTGTGGACCCTTGGCTATATAAGGAAGAGAGTTTTATGGCTTAATAAATCCTACAGCTCCACTCAAGCTCCACTACCTTGCAATCGCTCTGTTTAATCATTAATGTTAAGACTTTCATTGATCAACCACCATTATGGAACCTCCTCAGCCTAGTCATCATCACAAAACCTCTACCCAACAACTGTCAAACTTTCATTGGTAGACAACAGCCTGATCGTGGCTAACCATTGCCCTTTGACCATTGTTTCCCACCATTAATAATCCTTCGACCCCAATCACATGACTATAATCCTTTTGGACTCCATTATATGTTGACTACGGTCCTTCCAAATTCCTTACCCACTAACTATGATACTTAGACTAATGTAGCCTAACTATGTTGTTTGACCTTTATTGCTCAATTAAAGATATTTTAACCTCCATCACCTATCGACTATGATCCTTTTAGCTTCTATCACCAGTTGAATATGATTCTTTTAACCTCATTATCTGTTAACTACGGTCCTTAGAACACCGAAAGGAAAAAAAACTATAAGACCCAGCCTAGTTGAAAAAATGATATTATGGAGAAGGTTATACAAGAATCCTCCGTTCCTCATAGGCTTAAAAAGTGAGGATTATTTAAAAATTAATGTTTGGTTTTTTTAGAAGGATTACATAAATTAAGAATCCAGAGAATGATAATTAACTCACAATAATAGGGAAAATAAGACATTAGAACACCATTGCATTTTGGATTCATGGAAGAACCATAATCTGTGGGTAACAAGCTATGGTCTAGACCACCATCACCCAACTATGATCCTCAGAAAATCGGCACCCCCTGTGACACATGTAGGCTCAGCATCTGGATTGACCTATTCTGACCCGATTGAAAAAGGTCGCAAGAAGGATTTAGGGAGTAAAAAAATGTTTTTTCTAGTCGCTTTAGGTCATTTTCATCCTTCGGCCCAGTTTAGAAAGTTGTCTGGATCGATATAGGTCACATTACGCCTATTTCAATTTTCAAAAATATAAAGTTTTTATCAAAATTTTTAATCAAATTTCTATTTCTATTAGCAAAAAATACATATAATTTTGCACTGGTAAAACTTTCATCACGTAACTTTGTATATGTTACAAAGCTTATGATTATACAAATTTTGAAAATTTTCTAAAAATTTTGTAACGATAATTTTTATTGAATGAAAAATTATCTAAATATTGAAAAATAGTTGTGTAGTACGATAAAAGTCTTAAAACATTATTATACATAATCCTTAGTAATTTGGTTATTTTATGAAAATATATATTTTTGTTTAGTAAAATTTTATATTGCTAACCGTTATAAAAAATTATGCAATTTTGACACATGCTCAATTACTCTTTAACTACTATAATGTGATGATATATGTGTATATGTGATTAAATGGTATATGTTTGGAGCCATAAAGAATTCTTTGAGATATATCAATGTTAAAGAATATTCTAGTGCCTATAAGAAATTTTTGTGTGGCTATAAGTCATGTTCTGATGCCTACAGAAATGTTATGGTGGCTATACACGATGTTTTGGTGCCTATAGTCATGTTCTAGTGCTATAAGCATAAAAGAGAGTCATATCGGGCCAAAATCCTTTGAGATTCTATCTAGATCTGAGGAATGTGATATAATAGCTTTAGGATATGAATTATAATTTATTCAATTGCTTAGTATTATTATTTTTTTAATTAGATAACTATTATGCTTGTATTCATTTCTGAGTATAGTAATTTAGTACATTATATTTAATTAATTTTAAACATTTAAAAAATATTTAATAAATTTTTTTAAAAAATTAGAACAATTTGTGTGGCTTGTTGACTTGTTATAGCACACTGTGATTTTGCTTCTAATTTTTTTGACTCTGGGAAAGGGAAGGAGCTTGTGGATTAGTAGTTCATGATTTATTAGAGTTTATAGGTATTTTCTTATTTTGATTTTTATACAGACATGGCTAGTTTATTATTCATTATATGGCTTCTATATGTAGTCATGTACTATAGTGTAGGTATATTTTGATGAAATGAAATAAATCTTATGGATGAATTTATTTTTGGTATTTAGATGTTTAAGAAGCTCTGTAATTTGTAGTTTATTTAAAATAAATATTGGAAGAGAATCTAAAGTATTCCAAAACTAAATTTTAAGATTTTCTTGTCAAAGCTCAATGTGACAGGACCTGTCCTATTTGAGTTGGGTTGTGATAAGCTTTTATGGTATCAGAGCAATAATTTTGGAATTTGATTATAAGGTAGAGATATAAGAATTAATTTGTAAGTCTAATGGGGTAGTTTTGAGTCTATCTAGGTGTTCATTATTTTTTTTCATGTGCATGCATGCTCAGTTGTATATTTTATATAATTATGGATCCACCATACACATATATGATAGATGGTAGAGTGGTAGTCAGGAAACTCCTATGTATAATATAACTCCAATAATGAGTTCTGATATAATTTTATAGTTTCTAAAATGATAACTCATATGATGGGTGAGGCATAGAGTAGAGTTCGTACTATGAGATAAGATGATCTAGACAAACATATATAGATATTTCGATGATTAAAGCCTCCAAAGTTTGAGGGTCCTGTTAAGCCTATAAAATTAGATGACTAGTTGAGGAGGTTGGAAAAGATATTTAAAAGTATATATCATCCACCTGAGAGGAAGGTACCAATAATAATCTTTATGTTAGATGGCGAGGTTGAGCGCTGGTCGATGGGGCAATATGAGGAGAGACTTTATAGGAGATTCAATTCTCTAACTGGCTGGGTGGAGTTCTTAGATGTGTTTAGAGATTGGTTTATACCACATTCTACATAATAATAGATGCAGAAGACTTTTTTGAGACTAAATCAGGGTAGCATGATAGTTATGCAGTACGAGGCAGAGTTCACTACTTTGGCCATATATGTTTTGCACCTAGTTAGCACTTTTGTGAATAAGTACTATAGATTTCTCAGGGGACTTCGAGATAATCTATGATAACTAGTGATACCATTTTACATTTTTTATTTTTCCAAGCTTTTGGAGAGAGATTATCTGATAGAGAATGCTCTGATGGATACTCAGCAATGATGTACTACTAATAGAAAGAGTTTCAATTGGGAAACTTGTGGTAGTGACTTTTTTAAGAAAAAGGGTATATTTATACTTAGAGATTCTAAGAGAGGTGGATAATCAGTATATGCAGTAGTCCATAGAAGTGGCACCATAATCAATTTTGATTCTATTAGTGGGTCATCTGAGTGCCAGAGTTATGACAAATACCACTTTAGTCAGTATTATAAAGCGATTTGCTAGTGGTTCAAATATGGTTAGATGAGACATATGATGATTGA